CTGCCTAGTTCAAATAGTTGGAGCTGGGCAGGGGAGTGGAGAAGGGGTGGGAAGAAGGGGAGGGCATGTATGTGTATGTGTGTATATCTACACACAGCAGCTGCCTGGCTGGCTCCCTTTCCCCTTTCTACTTCATAGTTGGAAAAGGATTAGTTGCTCAGTGGTGTCTGAGTCTTTGCAACCCCATCAGCTGTAACCTGCCAGGCTCCTCTGTCCATGGAATTCTCCAGCAAGAATACTGGAGTGGATTGCCATTCCCATCTCCAGGGGATCTTCTCGACCCAGAGATGGAACCTGGATCTCCTGTGTTGCAGACAGATTCCTTACCATCTGAGCCACCTCATACTTGGAAGACCCTAAAAGTGAAAAAGTGAAGTCTCTCAGTCGTGTTTGACTCTTTTCGATCCCATGGACTGTAACCTACCAGGCTCCCCTGTCCATGAAATTTTCCAGGCAAGAGTACTGGAATGGGTTGCCATTTCCTTCTCCAGGGGATCTTCCTGACCGAGAGATTGAACCTGGGTCTTCTGCATTGCGGACAGACGCTTTACCGTCTGAGCCACAGCTTTACCGTCTAAGCCATGGTGGCTTATTGGGAGACCCTAAGTAAACTAGAACAAAGATGAGGTTAGAACTTAGTGAATTTCACAAAGATGATAGGACCCTCTTGGGACCAGAATTTGTTCAACATACTGGTTTTTAAAGCAGCACTGGAACCTAAATAAAGCTTCAACTTACAGTATATTGTTATCAAACGGTTACACTTAAATTCCAGAACTAGTTGGGGACCTGAAAATATGACCTGATTTGAAGGGTGATCAGTTTGACAGGATGATTTATTTGGTCAGGTTTGTCCCAGAAACTCCATGGAAGTTTCTGAGCTTACACTTTTGCTGAGAGAACTAAGCATAGAAGAATGTCTTTCTGCTCGGACTTTGATACTGATTGGGGAGGAGATAGGTGATTAAAGATAGGGAGAGGAAATGGAAAACTTTTAGATTCCAAAAAAGGTAACTTTTCCTCCCTTCAGTCTTGTCCGTCTTTTTAGTGTACCATAATACACATAATAATTTAACAGGCAAACAGTCTTAGACATAACAGTTATGAAACTTAGTGCTTTTGGTCTTACTGTGATTTTAGATTTGGAATAGAACTTTTTTTTTAAAACGATACTTCTATTCCTTCTTTAACCCCCCCATCCCTCTCTTCAGAATTTTTTCATTGTCTAGACTCTCATGGAAACTCAACAAAGGTTTTCTGTTTTAAGATGTGCTCAACTCTCACATGTTTGCAGAAAGTCTCCCACAAAGGGACATGTCACAGAGATAATTAGCAATTTAGGTCTGTGTATTTTTGCATATGCAAAGTACTAGCTTGGGAGTATTAGGAGACCCACTAATGATACTAGAGGTACTAAACTTTAGAAATGAAATTCAAGTCCAGGAAGATTTTAGGCTAAATTTTAAGTTGTTCTAGTTGGTTATTTCCAAGTAGTATCAGTTCGTTGCTTCTGAGGGGATATCCAGTCCACTTCACTGTGTTAGGTTATGACTTTTCCCTGAATTTTTGCACTTTTCCTTAAATAGACTAATGATGGAGTTTTTTAATGACATAGACTCTCTTTTATAATTTAGTAGTAGGCTCTCATTTTCTCTATGCTCATATAACCAGACTTCACATTTTTGCCTTTTAAAACACATTTAGATTATTGAGATGGAAGTATAAAATCCCTTCACCTGTCATTGAACTCCCTGGTTACATCAGTCAAGATCGACAGCCTGACATTTGCACGTTCCACGTGGGCTTTTTTGCTTAACTATACTTTGCTCTTTCTTTTGACAAATCAAATGCTGTGACTCTAGCATTTCTGTTTTCTAATCCAGTGTTTAAGCTGTTTGTTCCCTTCTGATACTCCCAATGTGGGGTGTGCCATTCTTTCGAGGCGTCCCGCATCCTCTGGTGGTACCCACAGGGCTTTATAGGAACACAGGGCAGGGCACCTAAGGGATTCAGGAAGGTTTTCTAGGAGAGATGGGTGTGTGTGTGTGTGTGTGTGTGTGTGTGTGTGTGTGTGTGTGTGTGTGTGTGTGTGTGAGAGAGAGAGAGAGAGAGATGGTGTGTGTGTGAGAGATGGTGTGTGTGTGTGTGTGTGTGTGAGAGAGATGGTGTGTGGTGTGTGTGTGTGTGTGCATGTGTGCGCTGTGTCCGACTCCACGACCCCATGGACTGTAGCCCGCCAGGCTCCTCTGTCCATGGGATTCTCCAGGCAGGAATAGTGGGGTGGGTTGCCATTCCCTTCTCCAGGGGATCTTCCCAACCCAGGGATCGAATCCACGTCTTCTACCTGTGTCTCCTGCGTTGGCAGGTGGATTCTTTACCACTGAGCCACCAGGGAAAGCCCCAATATCTTATCCTCTGATCATTTTTAATGATTTGGGTTCTTACTGTGGGAACAGACTGATTGTTCCTACCCTCACATAATCAAGCTTTGAATTACTGCCCTTAGAAAAAGAATATTCAAGGCAAAGAAAACTGAAACAGCCAACTAGGGGCGAAGAGGAAACCATGAATGTAAATTCACAGACATGTGGTTAAAGGGAGATTGAGGGAAGGTTAGGGCCTTCTGTTGCAGTGGACCCTGGATTTTAGTCCTAGACTGTGTTTCTGATTAAGAACTTTTAAACAACTGCTTATGGATAGTGTGCTATGAATAACTTTTAATTCTCCTTTTTAATTTCACTCTAACAGCTGCATTTTTGTATTTCCATAATTGTTTTTATCATCACTTTGTAACCCTTTTCTAAAATGGAGTGACTTGTGATTAATTTCTGTTCTTTCTTTTCCCACAAGCATGTTGAATTTAATTATACCAAGATAATTCTTGTGACCTGCTTAAAGAGAATCCCCCCTCCCCCTATGTAATAACATTTCCACCTTGTAGGTTTTTAAAACATTGCAGCCTTATCCATCATAGAATGAATTTTAAAACATTACAACCTTTGACTTAGTAAAAATTACTGTAAGGAGTACACATCCTTTCATACACTGAGCAGTACTCTCGTTATAGGTGTGATTCTGATTAAAATAGAGATGGAGTTAGGAGTCATGAATTTTTGGTGAATAATAAAAGCATAGCAACCAGTGGACTTTCTGAAAACTTGATTCATTTTTAAAGAAATCCTTGAACTAGAAAATCTGACTTGGTTGTTAACCGACCTCACACAGTTACTCCTTAGTCAGGTGCTTCCCTGTAGGAAGAGGCGTGTGGTCAGCTCCAGCGCGCATGAACAAGGACCAGACTGGCCAGTCGCTCAGCCAGCCCCTGCTGGGGTCGCTGTCCCCTTGCTCTCTGGCAGTCGGGGCTCGGTGCACTCTGTCCTGGGTGCCCCTTGCCGTCTCCTCACTGGCGGCCTGTCTCTGCTTCCTCTTGTTAATAGGGTGGCAGAGAGCTCCTTCACTGCTGTCTCTACACGGGATCGCATGGGCCAGGGTCTCTGACGAAACGGAAAGAGCAGTTACCTGCTATTTTACTTGTACATTTTGGGTGGTGATGTCTGGATATTGGACAGAAGACAGTTTCTACCTTTCTCCATTAGATGCAGACAGGTGTCAGCCATTGCTGGACAGACTAGAACATTCAGACCTGTGCCTCGACATAACTGCCTTTCCTTATTTTCTGTTTTAACGTCATTCTGTATCTTTAGCTCATTTGTTTACCTCTTTACATAACTTCTTTTTTTTCAAAGTTCCCTGTATTGTGATCTGAGCTTGAGTGAAGTGAAACCTTTGAGGTAAGGCAACCCTAATGGTGAAAATGGAAAGAAGTCCTGTGAAATTTGGGAGCCTTCAGAGATAGTTTTAGAGTCACTGCCTAAATATTGAAATGCCACCATTTGTTGTTTGGAGGGATGTGGAGCTAAATTGAGAATGAGAGTACCACATCTGCCTTGACTGCTAAGTATATCTATCTCTGCTGCTCACCCATAATAGAATTTTTATGTGTGCATTCATTAATCTTGGTTTTAGGAACAGTTCAAAAGAGGGCAGACTGTGAAGAGACCTAGTCTACGTTCCTCTCTCCTTCTCTAAGTGTTTGTTTTTTTTCATTATTATCACTGTGGTGGCTTCTGTTTGTTTTTCTTTTGTGTTTTGTTTCTCTGCTACTGCTAAGTCACTTCATACTGAACAAACAGTGTTTCTTAGTACTCTGTCAAGAGACAGAATATACTATTTTTATTTTTTGTCTTTTAAATTTTCTGGCAAATTAAGATTCAGACTTACTAAAGTTGTTTTGCCTTGTGCTCCCTAAATGAATGCCACTGCAACAGCAATTTTTAAAGCCCTTCACTTCGATAAAGACCATCAAGAAAGCAAAGTTGGTCCCGTGCAGGTGGTAATATAAGAGCAATATGTTTCTGGTGGCCGGTTCTTCAGCCACCTTGCCTCTGGCCTGCTTCTAATGGATGGTCTGAACCATCCCTCCTTAAATAACTCTTCTGAGGTTAGTTTGAAACCCAAACAGTGCGTTCATTGCTGTCTTTGGCACATGGAAAATAAGTTCAGACCAAGGCTAACAACCCAGTTCTTTCTAAAAACATTTTCCGACTACATGACGTGAACCTCCCCCCCCAGCCCCTTTCTTTTGCTCCAGCTAGTTTCCCGCTTTGGGGGGTTCCTCAGAAACTGATCGGCAGGGAGGAGTTTGGAAGATGTGAAGCGAGTTTGTGTTTCTTCTGCTCTGTCAGCCGCTGCTGTCCTCATGGGTCTGACACTCTATTTATCTGACAGTGCACTTAGTACTGCTTCGCCAGGGAAAATCGCACAGAACCAGCCCGGCATCAGCACTTCCATTGTGTACAGGGCTGAGCCGCCCTCCACAGCACACGTCCCGGGCTAATCCCGCGCCCCCTGCCCCTTCCCCAGCCCCGCCTGCTTCTGTGGCACTCACCGCCGGCCTCCCTGAGCTCCTGTTTCCACTTTGTGTCTTTTGTGGGGCCCAGGAAGCCAAAGCTGTGTGTATTTGTGGATCAGACAAGTGCAGCAAGTTAATATCATTGGCTTCTGAAGGGGAGAGTGAGGTGATGGCTGCCTTTAAGTTGGATTTCCTTCCAGAAATGATGGTGGATCATTGCTCTTTGAATTCCAGTCCCGTGTAAGTATTCTTGTTGTCTAATTTTTATCATAAGTAGAGCACTTTGGCTGTTTTTTCTTTGTTACTTGTTAAAATGAGTCCCTTTCCTTAAAAGAGGGAAGAAAAAAAATTGGGTAAGGAAGCCAAAGTCCACACTAGTTGTTTTCTATTGCAGTCTGATTCTCTCTCATTACTGCTGACTTCCTGTAGCTGTGACTAAGTTTTGTACATAAGGATGCATTTGATACATGACCAGCTCAACATCAGCTCAAGTGTGCTGGGCTCTGGCCCCTTCAGCTTAGTGTTCCTGTCTGATAGATTCTAAGGTATTTTTTTAAACCTTAGGGTTGGGTATACACCTTCAGATAATCTTTCAGGAAGCTATTTATTTGTATGTTTTATTTCTAATGATCAAATTTTTAGACTCATATCACAAACTTACATAGCTACGGTGTATTTAGCAGTGTATACAGAACACTGTATTGATGTGTAAACTAACCCTGAACCTTGACCCTCCCTGTCCCCCCAACTAATTGAAAATACAACACAATATGTGATTTTGGGGGACATCAGATGTGCCCCACCCCAAGTGGGGCAAACTGAATTAATCTTGATTGGCAAATTGCCTAAATAAATTTTGAACGTAAAAAGTGAGAAGCCTAATCAGTTTGTGTTATTGTTCACCGTTTTATGCAACTAAAATGCCAATCTGGCTCTGAGTTGTGCCTGAATTCTGGGCTATGTATTAAAGAACATACTTCTAACCCTTGATTTCAGTTACTTTAACCAGGCTTCAGAGTACCTTGGAACCTAAGTGAAAGAGACTTAAGTCATTCAAAACCAAGAATAGGAAGTGGTAGAATATAGAATACTCCCTAGATCACAGGGGTAGTGCAAGTCTTTGACATTAGGCCTCCGTGTGCAGATCAGTTTGCCTTGGGATTCGGTGTAACAAGTGTGGTGATAGCAGATTCTCAATGGTTCTTTGTGGAATAGTTTTGGGGGCCTCAAACAGAGTTGGCTTGCTCATTTGAAATGGATCCTGTACCTTCTCTGTAGTCTCCAAAATAATGGTAATTTAGAAGTGTCTTTTTATAAGAGTTCTCTTTACTGCTAAAATAAAACCTTAGCAGTAGATTATAGGTGAAATCACAGTGAATGCCATCATAAAAAATTACAATAAAAATATTGCCACATACTGGATAGATGATCCCTAGAATTAGGCCTGAATTGTCTTTCATTGTAACACTTTCTGTCTATGCATTACCATTGCCTAGTGGTTCGGTACAATATTTTTCCTCAGCCTGTTTTCTTATCTTTTACTAGGTCGGCCTAATTCAGTAGCCCATGAAATTTGGATCATGGACCACTATGTAAAAGTCACCTGGACTTAAAAATTCAGGTTCTGCACACATGCCCAGATAATTCTCATGCTAGAATGGGCTCAAGGATCTATTTTAATAGTATCCCATGTGGTTTTTATATACACTGAAGTATGAAAACTAATGGAATAAGTACAGTGCTCATTCTGAGTAGAAGTAATCAGGGAGTACTCTATTATATTACTATTTTTTTCCAAGAGCATTTGCTTTTGTTTTAATCATCCATCTTCACAAAACGTTTGTGAGGTTAATTGGGCATAGGCTATTGCCCCTGTTTTACAGTTGAGAAACCCAGCTGAGAGAGGCTGTGACTGACTTGACTGAGGACAGTTAGTATCAACCTTGGGCCTAAAATGCAAGTTTGCCGGTCACCTCTTTATTTTCTGCCTGCTGGACTTGGCTTCCTCAGGCATCATTAAGCAGTTACCATCAGCTCTTCTCACGCCTGCAAGTCCTCTGGCCCCCTCCCAGGGGTGCCACACACCCAAGCCAGAGTGGGAAGAAAGTTCTAGAGGATGGTGGGTGCTTGTCACCTCTTGGATTCTCTCTCTCTCTTTTTTGTATTTATTTATTTGACTGGACCAGGTCTTAGTTGTGGCACGCAGGATCTTCAGGCTTTGATGCAGCATGTGAATCTTCTGTTGCAGCATGTGGGCTCTAGTTCCTGGGTCAGGGATCGAACCCAGGCGCCCTGCATAGGAATCTTGGAGTCTTAGCCACTAGACCAGCAGGGAAGTCCCACCTCTTGGATTCTCAACCCTTCTTTTCACTCATATTGCTCTAGCAGAAGACTTGATATCACTAGTTTTCTCTCTGAAGTGATACTGCCTGGGAATACGACCTAGCAGTGTATCTTTTCCAAAATTTCAAATTACAGCAACAAAAATCGCTGGAGGAGCTGTGTAAGGGCTGAGGGGCCCGCTCCCTAGCTCCCTTTCTTGTTTGTGGTGACAGGTGCTGCAGAGACTTACTCTCTATAATACAGCAACAGGGGACGCTGACGAGCACTTGGCATGGGCCCTGGGACAGAGGTGTTCTCTAGGCTGGGGTCATATCTCAGCCCTGACCTCTCAGCTTCTCTGTTGTTTCAGGGGGCACTGATGTGTTTCTCTGATCTTTATGACTGTACCCTGGATGCCCCTTGAGTTCTGTGTGCCTAGTCTCGTTCCCCTATAGAGCAACTGGTAAGTAACTCAGGCCAGTGTTGCTGGGTCCTCTCCATCCTGATGTTCTGTGCACATTGTGAGCCGGAGGACCAGGTCGGAGTCGGTGGTGTCTGGAGATTGGGATGTAGCCAGGTGTTCATGCCTGCTGGGGAGGTAGAGGGATTAGTAAGTATGTGAAAGTTTTCTGTTTGTATAGTGAACAAATGGAGGTCAACAGGTAATAAGGGGAGAGGGAAAAAACTGAGTAATTAAAGATTTTGGAAATGATTTTTGAACAGTTGTGAAGGTAGTATTTGCCAGCTTGTTTGGCTACAAGGAACAGATTCCACTCAAACTAGTATATATGAAAGGCTTTTCCTGTAAGGACACAGTGGGCTGGACTATAATATAATCAGGAACTCTACCGCTCAGGGACTCGAAACTCCAGCTTTTTGACCCAGGGCACACATTCAGCTGTCTGCATGTGCTTCTGCTGTTCACCTACTGGATAGCTTTGGTTGCAGCGTGACTTGGCTTTGCCATTGCCCTTCCAGGATGTCTTGACACCGCCCNCCCCCCCCCCCCCCATATAATTAACACAACACAAAGTTTACCCTTTCAACGCGCACAGTATCCGTGATTTTTTAATTTTAAAACAAACTTTAAAATTTGTTTTTTACTATATCCATAAAGTTCTGTGATTATTACCACTAATAACAGCATTTTCATCACCTCCAAAAGAAATCCTGTCCTCTTTAGTGATCATTCCCTCCCTTTCTCCCCACCTCTAATTCCCATTCCCAAGCAACCACTAACCTACTTTCTGTCTCCATGGGCTTGCCTGTTAGTTTCACAGATGTAGAATCACACAATATGTCACTTTTTGTGATTGACTTCTTTTATTACCTTAATGTTTTCAAGCTTCCGCTGTATTGTAGCATGACTCCCATTGTCTCTTTCCACTACCCGCTCATCTCAGCTTAGCTCAAGCTTTCCTGAGTTGCAGCTTTTCCTCGTGCACCTTCATCACCGACTGCCTCTTTCTGTCGGTGGGTTCTAGGTTCTGTAGAGCAGTCCTGGGCAGTAGAACTTCCCGTGATATTAGAAATGTTCTTCTGAGTAGTCCCTGCTGATCCAGTACTTAGGACTCCAGGCTTTCACTCCTGAGACCCTGGATTCAGTCCCTGGTCAGGGAACTAAAATCCTGCAAGCCGCATGGCGTGTCCCCCAAAAGACTTAAAAAAAAATCTTCTGTCTCTGATATCATGTGTAGTCGACACTAGTCCTATGTGGCTAGTGCAAATTGAGAAACTGGATTTTTATTTTTATTTTTTTTTTGCCTTTTAAAATTTATTTATTTTTAATTGGAGGATGACTGCTTTACAATGTCCTGCTGGTTTCTGCTGTACATCAACACAAATCAGTCCCCAGTGTACATACGTCCCCTTCCTCCTGAACCTTCCTCCCACCTCCCACCCCATCCCACCCCTCTGGGTCGTCACAGAGCGCCAGGTTGAGCTCCCTGTGTTACGCAGCAACTTCCCACTAGCTATCTATTTTACATATACATGTATGCATGTTAAGTCGCTTCAGTCGTGTTCGACTCTGTGCGACCCCATGGACAGCAGCCCACCAGGCTCCCCTGTCCACCAGATTCCCCAAGCAAGAATACTGGAGTGGGTTGCCATTTCCTTCTCCAGAGAAACTGGATTTTTAAATTTAAATAGTAACATGTGGCTAGTGGCTGTTGTCTTATTCAGGGCAGCTATAGAAGGTCTTGATTAAGCGTAGGTCACAGTCTTAGGTTTCTAGACAGCCAATGCATCATCTTGTTAAGATCCATCTCCTGGTCTAGTCATGGGGGCCAAGGGATGGAAAAAAAAGTAGAATAGAACATTAACTCTGCCCTCTGAGCTGGGCCTGGAGCTGGGAAGCTTTGATAGGAAAAGGTGAAGACAGGGGCTAAGAGTTTTGAGTGGAAGTGTACTTTGACGATATAACTCTTCATTTCCCTGCCCCGTCTCTTCCAAATTGGTTGTTCCCCTGTCCTGTGGCGAGTTCTATCGGGAGTCAGGTAGACAACACAGCCTCTCGTCCTGACCCCTCCTAGTTTCTGATTCTTCACGACTTCGCCAGTTGCTGCCAGAGCCAGAAACACAGAAAGAAGCGGGTACCATGCCTCTTTGCTGGAACACTGGCTGCCTTCTCGCCTCCCTTCCCTGCTGCGGGTCTGCCTTTCCTCTCTCCCACCCCGCTCCCCAGGCAGCACCCCACTGACGGGTAGCACTTCCTCAGAAGATGAGGAGTCCCCACGGACCTGCCTCTTAGGACTGACAGCGATGGTATGGGCACTTCTCCAGGGGGTCTGTTGATTCCTGAATAAATGTAATGAATGCTTAATTTAGAATCACTGACTCTGAGGGGCTCCCTGTCAGTGGGCAGATGAGACACAGTTTGAGGACGTATTTAGTGGTGGGCAGAGGAAATGCCATACGTGGATACTGTGGGACCCTTGGCGTGTCACACTGGTAGTCTTGTCCCCAGGTGACTTTTTTATGTAGTGGTTTCTTCTTGAGGACAAGGTGCATACTAGAAGTATGTGTGGAAGGTTGAGAACAGAAGAGCGTTGTTGATCATGTCTTCAGACACAGTAACAGTTGCTGAGGAGTTTGTGACTGCTTACTACATACACATGTAGTTGCTTTCCTCTTTTTTTTCTCCAGCTGATATTGGCACTTATACTTCTAATTGTATCTTCTTGTGCTCCAAAGAAAGACCCCATGTTTTCCTTATTTACTGATGCATACCACATCTTGAGCTTCCCTTGTAGCTCAGTCGGTAAAGAATCTGCCTGCAGTGCAGGAGACCTGGGTTCGATCCCTGGGTGGGAAAGATGCCCTGAAGAAGGAAATGGCAACCCACTCCAGTGTTCTTGCCTGGAGAATCCCATGGACGGAGGAGTCTGGTAGGTTCCCAGTCCATGGGGTTGCAAGAGTCGGCCATGACGTAGCGACTGAAGCACCACTGCCATACCACATCTAACACAGTGATTGCGCTGTATAAAGAAGAGCTCAGTAGTAATTGGAGGAAGAAATCAGTCAGTGAGTACTCCAGTTGAATGATGTCCACTGCATCTTGAGTGCGGCCTGATCATTTGCTGTGCTCTAGAAGTGCTTCTCAAACTGGTGAAGGACCATGTCCCATCCCTTCCTCCACCCAGCCTGTAAAATACAATAAGATAATGTCATAGAAAAGCAAAATAATGAGGTAAAGGCTTGCATTTTGCATATCTTTTTAATATTCAGTTAGCCATATGTAAAATTGTGGAGTGTGATTCCTGTGAAAGTTTTTAATGGTTAAGTTCAAAGATTGCTCCAGTTCTTGGGGGAGTCTTCTGGTTCTTGAATAGGTATACTCGGGGGACAGGGTGATTCAGGCAGTAGGTGGACATGAAGAAGTAAGAGGGACTTGGAGAGTAAAGAGAAAAAGGAAAGGCACTTGTCTGGAATGCTGAGTCTCCACTGAACTTTTGGGTAAAGCACAAATCATATAAATTGACTACATTTATACTTTTGTGCTAAAAAGCGATGTAGAAAATTTAGAAGTGGTACATGAATACAGAAGGAAGGGACAAACTGAGAGTGGTTGCCTCCAGTGAATACAAACTGGTGAGCGCCTGCCTCTTCAGAAATAGCTGTCTGCTTCTTTATAGTCAAAACATTCTAAGCGCCATTTATTTGGGTGCTATGTTAACCCTCCCTGGAATAGAAATATGATTAAAAACTAGCGCCATTTTAATAAAATATTAAAACTGGTAATTAAAGTTGTGGAGCACGGATGGTAGGAAGTGATACCCATTTTTTCACTAGTCATAGGACTTTTAAAAAAATTTGTGATAAAATGATTTCTGTTCGATCATTGGGGTTAGGCGTTTAGAAGTAGCTATGTTATATTTTTGCAGCAACTTGCCAAACGTGGTTTTAAATTAATAAGGGAAAACCAATGAAACCGTGTAGTTCAAAATGCTTAAAAGCGGGGAGGGGAAGTAGGTTGATCCTGTGACAGTGAAATCCTCACAGGAGAGGATACCTGCTCTTTAATCTGTGAGCCCTTTGTGCACAGCATTGATTTTTATCAAGTTTAGTTGCTTAAATGGGGGAATTGTTCAGAACAAGAAATTCTTCCCACCCCGCATCTGGGTGATTACTTTGAACCAGGCACCAGTACGAGGTGTGACTATAAGAATACGAATGAAGTGATGTCTTCCTTCAAGGAGCTCTCAGTCTTGTTGGGAGAGGTAGGTGGAGCCAGAGCTTGCTAAAAGGTGTTCAGTCCTGTAATCAAGTTGGAAATTTAGTGTTGTTTGAGTCTTGATGGAACTGACCAGTTAACCTGGGGAAGAGTATGGGGAACCTTCATAGACAAAGCAACAAGGATTGGTTTATATGATGTTTGTCTTACAGTTTTTGATGTTTAGTACCTAGACATGAAAATAGCCCTGTATTCAGTTACAAGAGATGTAGGAACTAGAGGATGAACTACTAGATTCAGCATTCTTAATGATTTTCAAATACTAGTCAAAAGGTAGCAGTGGTGACAAAACTTAGTTTTTCTTTTAAAGAAAAGTGGTGTTTTATTTGGGGTTGAACATTAGAATACGTGAAAGAAAGAAAGACATGTTTGAACATAATGATGTGATTTCTGGATTTAGCAAACACTGAAAAAAGTTAAACATGCTAACTATTTGAAATTTAAGCTGTTACTAGTTTGGATAAATACTCAGAATAAGATTGTGAAAAGGTGGTAGAAGGACTTTGATTCATTCTGAGTGGAAACATTCAATAGTGTAGGAGTTTCCCCCGTGGTTCTTGACAGACAGACAGAACCCAGGGGAGTGCGCTGCCTGACAGAAGGAAGGCCCTTAAGTAGGGGTGTTACAGATGGGTGTGATCAAACTGGAGGAGTTTGTGGACACTATAACAGTTAAGAGTTGGTAAGGGAATTAACTGGTGAAATCTTGGAGAAATAGCAGCAAATCGGATTACTTAGAAACAAGACCCTAGAATGATGACATCATTGTTTATATAACAATCATTTGTGAAAGTTGAAGAGGTTTTATTTTGTTTTGATTGGAGGACCTCACTCAAGAGTACCAGGATTATGTGTGAGACATCATCAACCAAAGATTAATGTTCTAGTCAGTTCTTAGGCCTTGGAAGTCCTGTGCTTCTGTTCTGACATCTGCTGAGAGAAAACTTTTCACCCGTCATCGTGTAGATTGAGAATCCTGAAACCTACCCATAAGCAGTAGTCTTTTGTGATTTTGTGGACACTTTATAAAGTTTTATTAGCTCTACTTAAAAATGATTAAAGCTTTCTTGAGGAACTTTACCTCTTAAGTTCTTCTGATACTTCTCTAGTTAGACAATTCATTTACTTAGATAAAGCCCAGGGTGTCCTAATCAGAATGATGCCTTTAGTTTCGGATCAGATGGAAGGGGTGGCATAATGAGGGAGGGCTGGGGAACTCTGGTAAATAGAATATGAGTAGTGAAAAGAAGTAGGTTTTTTTCCCCTTACTTCTTCAGGAAGTAATTGAGACTTTTAAAGAAAAGATTCTTTTGGAAACAACATGAATACATAATAGAAGTTTTATTTTACGCAGCTCAAAGAAAATGAACGGCACCCTGGACCACCCAGATCAACCGGATCTTGATGCTATCAAGATGTTTGTGGGCCAGGTTCCAAGGACCTGGTCTGAGAAGGACTTGAGGGAACTGTTTGAACAGTATGGTGCTGTCTATGAAATCAATGTCCTAAGGGATAGGAGCCAAAACCCTCCACAGAGCAAAGGTAAGGAAGGGCTTTGAATTTATGTGTATTTGCAGGCACACGCATGCTCTGTCTCATTGCCAGGATGCTCTTGTGGTCATGGCGGTAGTGTTGGGGGGGATATGACTGTCTTGCAGCTATATCTCCCAGTCCAAACATGTTTAATGACTTAACAATAAAATAAAATCCTCATGAGTGACATCACAAGGATAATTTAATTTGTAAGTTGGATTCTTGGGCAGTCATTTTCAAGATCTGTAAATTCAAGAGACAGACTCATGTGAGTGTCTCATTTGATCTTGGTAATGGAACGACAGAAATAAAGTTGAAGTACACCAACCATGTAGGCTGTTTTTTAGTATTTTAGCTAGGGTGAGTGGAGAGAGAGGCTGTCTAGGCACTCGTGGTTTTTGTTGGTGTTACAGAGGCCTTCTGGGGTGGCTCAGCAACTGGGAGGGGTTTGTAGATCACCTGTTTGTTATAGCCCCAAAGTGACCGGGGGGAGGAAGGCAAGCTGCCTCCAGAAACACCCAGCAGAGGAGAGGGCTTATAGGACTGATAGTAGCTGAGGCGTTAGCTTTGCCCCTAGACACACGCAGATACACACTTGTTTTCCCCAATAACCCATTTCAGAGTAATTTTCTGTGATGAAAGCTTTTCTATAGTACAGATGTAAGCAAGCATGATTGTCATGATTGAAACCAGCTTAATAGCAGAAGGTCTAGAGCTGAGGAATTATTTTCTCTTTGTGGCATAGTTAACCAAAAATAAAAGGTATTATAGTTTCTGAAAATGACTATCAATGTAATATACAGTAATTTGAAATTTTAATTGCAGGGTGATTTTAAAAGAAATCTATACCATATCTTACGGGACTATGGGCCTAAGATTTACAAAACACACTTACGCCCTCCAGTCCCCAGCAGAGGCACAGAGTGCAATCTCAGGGTCTTCTCAGTCAAGTGCTGTTGGACGTGTAATTGCATTTGATGAGAACCAGGAGTCCAAAAAATAGATACTAAGAGATCCTTGCTCTGAAGTCATTTTATCATTTAATAAATGATAATAATGTTTAGGGCATATGGTAGAAACTGGCTGCAGTGTAAGGCTTGCTCTGAGAAAGTGAGAGCTGTAGACTACAGGTTGTAAGAGTGCGCGTCTGAGTCTCCTTGCCCAGCCTGCTCCTCCGTGCTCCAGGAAGGGTGGGTTGGATGGCATGGTTCTGTGACCTTTGTAAGGAGGGTCATCTTTCCCAGAGAAGTTACAGGAGCAGCTAAAGAAGAATTTTAATAAAACCAGGTGACGATAGCAATAAAGAAAATGGTAGAAAATCTTTATTTTTCTTCCTTGTTAGATTTTCTCCATCTCCCTCCCTCCCCTCTCCCCACCCACCCACTCATTTGAATAAACCCAGCCCTGGCTTTTGACTTTCAGTGTATCCCGGGAAGAGGGAGTGCTCTTGGAAATTATCTGCTTTCAAAGGACTGGTTTGATTTCATTAAGTATTGTTTATTGCAGGGTGCTGTTTTGTTACGTTTTACACCCGAAAAGCTGCATTAGAAGCTCAGAACGCTCTTCACAACATGAAGGTCCTCCCAGGGGTAAGAAACTCCTACTAGTAAGTGGAACCGTGGTGGCTTTGACGCATGGAACACACGGGGGGAAGTGGTGACTGCCACAGGAATTGATGTAAAGGAGGAATAAAGGGAATGTTTCAAAGAATATAGATTGAAAGTACTTCTCAGCCAAGAGAGTTTTGACTTGTTGACTCACATTCTATTTTGAGATTCTGTTGAGAGATAATGAGGCAGGCGTGAGTTCAGAGACAGTTCTTCCTTTCTCGGGTGCGTCACTGCAGCGCAGTGCAGCGCGCGGACTCTGGTTATGGCGCATGGGGTTAGTTGCTGCCAGCCATGTGGGCTCTTAGTTCCCTGATCAGCAGGCAGACCCATGTCCCTGCATGCAAGGGGGATTCTTAGCCACTGGGTCACCGGAGAGGTCCCCAGAGACACCTCTTAAAGCTCAGTTTCGGTATTTCCTTTAGAGGCCTCATTTATGTTTCTGAATTCCCTCAGTGTGTGTAATCATAATATTCACGTGTCTTCCGTCTTAGATGCATCATCCTATACAGATGAAGCCTGCCGACAGCGAGAAGAACAATGGTAAGCAAGCACGTGAGCAAGTCCTCCCCTTACAAGGTTTCTTCTGGAGTATTTGCTGTTCTCATGGCATTTGGATTGTATTGTGCACTAATTATAATTTTTTGTTGACGTATAATTGACATATAATATGTTAGTTGTACAACATGATGATTCAGTATCTGTGTATTTTGTGAAATGACACTGCAATAAGTCTAGTTATCTGTCACCATACATAGTTAAAAAAATTATTTCTCTTGTGATGAGAACTTTAAAGATCTACTTTCTTGACAACATTGAAACGTACAAGGCAGTATTAACTATAGTCACCATACATCCTTGTGACTTATTTTAAAACTGGAAGTTTATGTATAATAAGTTTATTAATGCTTTTTGACCTCCTTTACCCTTTTTGCCTCCCTCCTTTCCCCTTGCCCCTGACAAGCACCAGTCTGTTCTCTAGGAGCTCAATTGTTTTTTTGTTTGAAATATCCATGTTTAAATGAGAGCAATACAGTATTTATTTTTCTCTGACTTAATTCACTTAACATAATGCCTTCAGGGTCCATTCATGTTGTCACATATGTCCAGATTTCATTTTTCATGGCTGAATAATAATCATGTATGTATAGAATACCCCTTTTTCTGTATCCCTTCATCTGTTGATGGATACTTAGGTTGCTTCTGTACCTTTGCTGTATAAACATGGGTGAACATAGATCTTTTCAAGTAAGTGTTTTCATGTTCATCAGCTAAATATCCAGGAGTGGAACTGCTGGATAATTTGGTAGTACTGATTTTAATTTTTTGAAGAACTTCTGTACTGTTTTGCACAGTGGTTGCACCATATAGATCCTCCCAACAGTGCACAGGGGTTCCCTTTTCTCCACATCCTCACCAACACTTGTTCTTTTTGATAATAACCATTCAAACATATGAGATAATATCTCGTGGTTTTGATTTTCCTTTCCCTGATGATTAGTGATATTGAGCACCTTTGATGTCTCTGTTGACCCTGCATTGGAAGTATGGAGTCTTAACCACTGGACCACCAGGGAAGCTGCCCATTTTTAAATCAAGTTGTTTTTCTTTTACTGTTGACTTCTTTAAGTTCTTTATACATTTTACTTATTAACTCCTTATCAGATACATGATTTGCAAATACAGTAGATTGCCTCTTTATTTTGTTGATGGCTTTTTGGTTTTTTTGCTGTGCAAATCTTTTTCATTTGATGTAACACCACTTGTTTATTTTTTGCTTTTGTTGCTTTGCTTTTGGTGTCAAATCCAAAAAAAGTCATTACCAAGACTCATGTAAAGGAGTTTACCAAGCCCAACTCACCTAGGTATTTCATGGTTTCAGTTTATCTAGTACTTACTCAGAATTAATGCATTTTGAGTTAAGTTTTGTGTCTGGTGTAAGATAGAGGTTCAGTGCTGTAAGTAATCTGTCATCTGAATTGCTCTTTAAAATAAGCATGGTAAATAAATGAGATAAATAGAGTTGACAGGGAAACATTACAAGAACATCTGAGAGTGAACTGGAATGCCTTTGAACTGCATAGTTTCTTATCAACCAGAGTAAGGAGGGGAACTGAGGAAATTCCCTCCCTAAAAAATTAGGAAGGAAAACTCAGTCCTCAAGAAGATAACCAGAGTATGAAAGTGGACAGTTACATTCACTGAATGTGTGTTTCTTTTGTCATGTCAGGTAAGTGTGAAAACTCATCCTTCGGTACAGCAGTATTACTAGTGAGAGCAGACTTTGCGAAGTATGAGGCAAGATGCTGAGTTCTTGGTATTTAATACCTACAGCAACCTCTGAGGTAAACTGTTTCCTCTGTTAATCACATGAGGAAACAGGCACAGAATGGTTAAGTAACTTTCATAAGATCATGAAGCTACTATATTTCATCTCAGTGCTCCCAATTATGGTTTAAGAGTAGGTGCTAAATTATGGGGGGAAATGCATCTTAAAATGAGTACAGTAGGTCACGAGGCACAGGGCTCTGTGCTGCACTGCCGCCTGTAGTAATGGTCCAGCATTTGTTCCTCACTCTCTCAGCAGTGGAAGACAGGAAGCTGTTTATCGGCATGATCTCCAAGAAGTGCACCGAGAACGACATCCGAGTCATGTTCTCCTCGTTCGGGCAGATTGAGGAGTGCCGGATACTGAGGGGGCCCGACGGGCTGAGCCGAGGTACCTTTAAAAGCACTCAGCTTAAATTTGGAGTCTCTTTTTATTTGAATCAGTGGAAACCAGTGATCTCTAGCCACCATGGATGATACTGTCAAGATGGAGAGGGTTGAGTATGGTGTTGTGTTTCTAGGTCCCGTCATGATTCGTATCAACTGATCCCAATTCCCCCAAGGAATCTACATTTTGCACCTAAGTGTCATGCATTAAAATTCTATTTCTGTCCTTGGAGAGATTCTATGCCAAAATGGAAGCACGCCTTTCACGAGAGAAACTAGAGAATGTGATTCCTCCTTTATCTCTCAAGCACTTTCTCTCCTATTTGTGCTTCCCTGATTTCTCACTGAAGCATGTATCACCTTGTTGTAACACATCATCTTCCCCACTAGATCATGAATTCCTAAAGGCAGGAATCATGTCTGTATTGTTAGCATGGTACTTGGGCACATGGTAGGTGCTCAGTAAAAGTCAGATAAATCATTGAATGAATGGACGAGTTATTGACTCTTCTCTTACCAGGTTGTGCATTTGTGACTTTCACAACAAGAGCCATGGCACAGACAGCTATCAAGGCAATGCATCAAGCACAGACCATGGAGGTAGGGGCAGATGAGCGAAAGGGACGCTCCCTTAGCCTGAGCATGCTAGGACCATGGAGCACAGAGCCGGGCAGCGTGCATAGTGTCTGGTCGCCCTAAAAGTCGCTGTTTGCTTAGTCACTTCAGTCGTGTCCGACACTTTGCAACCCCATGGACTGTAGCCCACCAGGCTTCTTTGTCCATGGGATTTTTCAGCCAAGAATACTGGAGTGGGTTGCTGTTACTTCCGATCTTCCCAACCCAGGGATCAAACCTGGGTCTCTTAGTTCTCCTGCATTGGCAGGTGGGTTCTTTACCACTAATGCCACCTGGGAAGCCCTAAAAGTTAAGCCAAACATCTAAAACACTGGTGCTTTCTTTAAAATCAGCATATTGCAACTGGTTAACCCTTTTAAGTTACCTTTTGCCACTTGTGTCTATCAAAGAGGAGAATCATTTGGCACTGAATAAAATGAGAATGCAGCCTATGTGGCACTGGAAAGGAGGGTTTCCCTCCACCCAGAATGAGGAATTTGACCCTTTGATTTTGGTGTTTTCGTAGGGTTGCTCCTCCCCCATGGTGGTAAAATTTGCTGATACACAGAAGGACAAAGAACAGAAGAGAATGGCCCAGCAACTCCAGCAGCAGATGCAGCAAATCAGCGCGGCATCTGTGTGGGGAAACCTTGCTGGTCTAAATACTCTTGGACCCCAGTATTTAGCAGTGAGTCTTTGTGGTTTGCTTTCTGCAGGCTGTGCAAGCTCCCAGCTGTTTCTTCTTCTGCTGTCCCTAGCTAACATATATAATGGCACTCACAGCTTTTAGCATATCCAAGTTTTACATAAAAATTCAGGCAACACGATATTCTTTGTCACATTAGTCTCGTGTGTGCACTGGCTCACTCTCTCTTGTCACACATCATTGGTTGTATCTTGAGCTTCTGCTCCAATTAGAGTGAAATCCTAATTTCCTAATACAAAGATTTAGAAACATGTGTCCCTGCCCCCAAGAAATAAAATTATTGGGGAAGTCTTAGCTACCAAGTATTTCTCTCCATCTGTGTCTAGTAGATGTAGAGGCCATCAATAAAATCCTTCCTGAGCCTTCCAAGAAGAGTATAACAATATATTTTCCCATCGACGGAGAGCTTGAGAGATTAACATGGACATTATTAAATGAGTTTTACAGGTGTCTATTTGAGTTCACTAAATAGTAAATAGATTTCCTTTAATTTGAATTCTCTCTTGTCAAGTTTGAGTCATGTAATCCAAAAGCAGGCTCTAATTTGTTAGATTTATTAGGTCTGCAGTGTATATTACAGGGGATTATCACTGCTTCAGCCCTCAAAAGAACCACAGGTGGCACAAGACGCTTACAACCGTCTCGTCTTTGAATCAGAAAGAACAAGTCATCTATGAAGCTACCAAAGAAGGAAAATAAATGGTGAAACCACTAGATTAGTATGGATAGTCTAAAAATATACACACAGAAGTATAGTCATTCATTCCTCATCCTTTAAAATATTATTTTATATGGAAACAGAAGAAAGGCGGTGATTTCTATCCCTCAGTACTGGGTTTTGGCTAATTTGATGCCCTCTGGTTTCCATATTTCTAACATATTAGAAGAAATTCAAGTTTATCCTTGCTGGTATTTCTCTGAAATCAGAAGACCTAGATGGTTGTTATATCTCTGCAGATTAAATTTTTCCTTGGTGCTAGAACATTGCTTAAAAGTTGAGAAAATTCAGAGATTTTAGTCTTCTGCCAGAATGATAATGCTTTGAAAATTATCTCCATGATGTGTGCTTGCTTTCCTTAGAGAGTTTGGAGCCTTCTTTTTGTTGTCACTGCCACATCTAGCAGGCACATGATGGTATATGTTGAGAGCTGTGGCCTCTTTGTTTCTGTTAAACATGATCCCCGCCCTAAGAGCTGGTCTCTTTTAGGGAAGAAGTAAAGTGCCAGGTACAGTATGTACAGTCCACTAGTTGGGACTAAGCTCATTGGCCAGGTATTTAAGAACACAAAAATAAAGATGTGAGAGCGAATGGACTGTGTGATAGCACGTCATCATTAATTAGGACCTACTAGAATGTGTGAACTTGAAACTAGAGCAGTAGTTCTTAAATCTTCGAGGTTGTGGAGCCCTTTGAGAAGCTGATAAAATTCTGTGTGTGTACATTTTTTCATTCTACTTCTGGAAGTTTGTGAACTTCCCTGAAATGCCTGTAGATTAGAGAGATTCATGATGACAGAGGAGCCAGGTCAGATGTTTATAGGAATGGATAATAGATTGAACAAAGGATCCAGAAACAAGAATACCAGCCATTCATTGATTGGGTTTGAATGGAACAAAAGGTCTCAGCAGGTTGCTTAGATCAGGGTTGCAGTTTGCTAGGTACAGGGTAAGGCCGTGGAGATTCATAGCTTATAGACAGGTGCTCTTGTTTTATTAGTTATGGAACACTCGTTGAAAGAGAATATTCCCTGGATGAATGCAGACTGAGCCATCATTTGGTCATCTGCAACAGTGAGATGAATGGGACTAGATGAATGCATAGTATTCTAATCACAACGAGGTTGATCTAGTCACAAGTTCATCGTGGCTGGTAAAGGATACTCCAAGAAAGAGCCTGAAATGGTCCCAGTTGGTATTTTAAGTAGTTGGCCAAAGTAGAAATTAGGCCTCCAGATGGGAACAGCCTACAAAATGAGGTGTGTGGACCTAACCAAGGAGAACTTGGGAGAGAAACTAGACATGGTGGTCACCCGTCTGCAGACGCTGCTGGCAGTGGGCCGCACGGCTGCCTGGCTGGGCTTCGTCCTCCCCGCCCTGCCCCCGCCGTGCCACACTGTGTTGCCGGAGTCGAGCCTGGCTTAGGGCTCGGCTAACAGCCGTCCTCTGGGCCCGGGCTTCAGCTGTGCTGTGTCGTCCTGTGCTGTCACAAGCCTCGTGTTTTTGTCCTGTTGGCTTGGGTTCTTGTCTTCGACTCTCTTCTCTTTGGGGGCCTCTGCACTCTCGCTTTGCTGTGCTGTAGAGTTATCCCAGACGCAGAACCAGCCCTCACTCTCACTCTTGTTCTGTTTTTTGGTGTAATGTCTAGCTTTATTTGCAGCTCCTTCAGCAGACTGCCTCCTCTGGGAACCTCAACACCCTGAGCAGCCTCCACCCGATGGGAGGTAAGTGTTTCACTGCTGTGGAGGAGCAGCAGCAGCCACGCCAACCGACGCAGCTAACAAAAGTCTTAAGAGTTTTCTACTCTTCATGCAGAAAAAACAAATTTTCTTTCCCACTCATTACATAAACCTGATATAAGATGAACATCCTGGGATTAACTACCTTTTCTCTCGAAGGAGGCTCTTTTAGTTACTGATGTCATGTTGCTCTGCAGTTGTCTGCTGCTCCCCACCCCTTTAAGTCTTTAGTGAGAAGAACTGTTAGTACCTGCAGACTGTCTGCAACCACTTTGATAAGGAGAAAATTGCAGGAATTATTTCCACAATAAAGTGACTTTTCCAGTGGTTCTCAGAAGAAAAGTCTAAGTTGGCTTCTGTGTGTGTGGCTTGCCCTACAACTGCTAGAACCTTGGAAGTCAGTGTCTTATACATGTTATTCCTTAGGTAATTACTGTTTTTGGTATTAACACACACCATAAACTTAATTTACAGATACCAGAGTTGTTAACAAAAGGCAGCTCCACAGTCAAACCCGAGGCAGGGACGGGGCCACTCCAAAGCTGCCCAGCCCTGCCCCTCCATCGGTGGGATCCGGCTCGGCAGGTGCATCTGAGGAAGGGCTAGTCTTAGGCAAGGTGCAGTGCGCCACTGGGAAAGCTTGATAGTTTCATTTTTTTTGTCCCAGGGACTCAGAGGTTGCTGTATTTTCAGAAAGTTGCTAGATTTTAAATCTGTGCTGTAGCCTGTTTATTCTCGTTAATTCTCCACCCCTACCCATCTGCCTTTCCATTATCCAGTAAGTCGTTTGCCGCACGTTCTTGGTGCACATTGCTGGTGCAGTTCAGACTTTTTGCTCTCCTTTTACCAGTGTCGCTAGGTTCTACTTGGAGGTCTTTTCTCCAGTGTTTGTTTTCTCTTGTTTTTCTGCTTAACCTGCTTTTCAGGCGGTGGTTTTTTCTTTGTTCTCTCTACTCTTGCAGTTTTCACGTCATTCCTCCATGGTCTTCTGGATCTCTGCTGCATTTTCTGCTTGGTTCACCTCCACTGCAGAGAACAGATCCCCTGTAAAGCACGAGTGAGGGGCTCAGATACAGATTCATTCTCTGCCTCGGGCTTTGGCACTGTTCTCCTCAGTCTGCCTGGCTCCCTGGTAGACCACAGAACCCAGCCCTTTTTCTCTGATTCCCTCATTGCCCGTCCATTTATTAATGCTCACTCACTTGGGCTGGAATGCTATTGTATTCGACATGTCTTGTTTGAGGAAATGTCAAGTTTCTTAATGAGTTGAGTGGTATCTGAGTCTTTTTGGAGCTCTGTAGTATATTGCCTGTAAGGCTTACACCTAGAGCAGTTCCTCTTTGAGATGAGCCTCTGCCCGTCCGCACGGTCATTGCCGGAGTGGGTATAGCGCACGCTTGTCTGCTGGCTGATGGCTTGCTTTGGATGTTGCAGGGTTAAATGCAATGCAGTTGCAGAACCTGGCTGCCCTAGCCGCTGCTGCGAGTGCCGCTCAGAACACACCCAGCGGCACCAGTGCCCTCACCACGTCCAGCAGTCCTCTCAGCGTTCTCACCAGTTCAGGTGAGCATGGGCCGGGGCCGGGGCCGGGCCTGCGGGCCTTGGGCAGAGCCCCACATGAGGATTTTGTCCTTCTGCAGAACAGTTAACACCCATTTCCAGAGGGGTCAGATCATGAACAGTAAAGTTTCACATGTCTTCTGAGTTAAGAGCGTACTCATGGTTCTCAGTTTGTTGCAGTCATCACTTCTGTGTAGCGCAAGAACATGTTACCAGAATCATTAACTGGGGCGAGTGGGGCAGGGGGTGGGAACTGGAAGCCTCCTTACAAAGAGAATGAACAGTTGAGTGATCCAGCTTGTGCTTTGGCGCCTGCTGCCGCGAGAAGGCAGGTGTTGGTCTGAGTCTGACTGGTGGGTGTCTGACAGCAGGGTCCTCACCCAGCTCCAGCAGCAGCAGCTCCGTCAACCCCATCGCCTCCCTCGGAGCCCTGCAGACACTGGCCGGAGCCACGGCAGGCCTCAACGTCAGCTCTTTGGCAGGTGAGGGCCAGTCCCTGGATGCCATCCGGTCGCTCTGTGCAGGTAGCATGTTTTAAACTGCTCTGGTAGGGACACTTACAGTGAATGATCGGGATGTCCAGTGAAGTTAGAGATGGTCTTAAGGTTTTGAGTCAGACCTGACCCTGTCTGTTAACTATCTGTACCTTAAGACCACCTTTCTAAGGGCATTTTCTCATCTGTGAAGTGGGACTAGACTACTCTGAGGGTTGTCAAGTTAAATGAGAATACAAGTGAAATGCTGAGCACATCACGTAGCAGTGTCTGACACATAGTACACACTCAGTAAATGTTAGTGGCTATCTTGATGATAGGATTTGCCCACATCTGTCATACAGTGTATGGACTCATTTTAGTCCCCAGTCCTGGGCCTGTTATTTTACCACATTCCAGTTCTTAGGAGAAAGTGGCAGCAAATCCAGAGAAGAAGTGGGGCAAGTCACGTGTCAGTGGTATCACTTGTGCAGGTTGGAGGATGAGCTGCCTCTGGGTGTGGCAGCTTTAAATGTCCCCTTAGCCATGGGCCCTGGTGAGTGTCCTAAGACCTGACCCGTCAGATGGCTGCTGCCTCTCAGGGAGAGGCTGAGGACGAGATGACAGGGTGTGCTTTGGAGTTTGTCTTTCGCGCCAGTCGAGCCTCTCCCCCAGGGATGGCTGCTTTAAATGGTGGACTGGGCAGCAGCGGCCTCTCCAACGGCTCCGGGAGCACCGTGGAGGCGCTCACACAGGCCTACTCGGGGATCCAGCAGTACGCGGCCGCAGCGCTCCCCACCCTGTACAACCAGAGCCTGTTGGCGCAGCAGAGTATCGGTGCCGCTGGGAGCCAGAAGGAAGGTGAGTGGCGGGACGGGGCCAGGGCGCGGCGGGCACAGCCTCCGCAGCAGTGCCGAAGGGCAGGGCGAAGCCCGGGAGGGCCGTGTAGGGGGTCAGGCCGGCACTGACCTTTGGCATTGCCAAGGGTGCACTGCGAAGCTGGTCTGCGTTTGGAATGCGTTCTGGTCGTGGTCGCACCAGGACCTCTGTGTGCCCTCCTCAAGTGGGGCTGCAGCTTCAGGTGAAGAGACATACCAGCCTGGTTGTGTCTGATAGCGTTTGGCAGTCTGTTTTTGAGAGGACGTCTTCTCTCTCACAAATCTGCTAGAGGATGTCTTCTGTCTAGGTGTCCTCTTTAGCTCTGTCATTTGGCATTTTCCTCACTTTCTCATCTGTGCTTTTCCTAATTGAGGACAAACCGAAGGACAATGAGACAGAGTTACAGCCTGTGGGTTGATGGAGTGGGGAATATGTGCTTTGACACAAACAGTTTTAAATTCAGGAGAGGCTTTCTAAGCAGAAAGAGGCCTGAAAGTGGGCTTTCTAAGCAGGAGGAGGCCTAAATGTGGTTTGTGTGAGCAGAAAATCCTGCCGACATCTCTGTCCTCCTATTTGACGGGTTTTCATAGCCAGGAGCTGGCATCTAAGCGCTTCTGTAGGAAAAGGCAAGCACCCTCTCCTGCTTTGGCCCCAAGGAGTCCCGGTGCAGTGCGTCCTCCCTGCTCGGAGTTGGACATTTACCGTGTGCCCTGGGCTGTGTTGAGAGGGAGCTGTTGGGACTCTGGAGACAGTGAGCAGAAGCGTGAGGTGTTCAGTGGCGCTCTGAAGAATAATGCACAGGAAAGCAGAATAGAGGGTGCCAGAAAGATAGCATTTTACATAAAAAGAGGTTTCTCCAAGTTGACGTTTAAGCGCGGACCTTAGGGAAGGAAGGAGCGAGCCATGTGTATCTCGAGGAAGGAGAGGAATGGGGCAGAGGGGCAGCAAGCGCACAGACCACGAGGCAGCGTGTGCCGTAGCGTCTCATGACAGCAGGGAGGCCGGGTGGCTGGAGGCTGGCCGGGCTGCAGTGATGATAAAACTTCTCTGGATATGTGGTGCATGTATACAGCGGGTGTCACTCAGCCATTTAAGAGGACGAAGCAGTGCCGTTTGCGGCCACATAGATGGGCCCTAGAGATCATCACACCAAGGGAAGGGAGGCACAGAAAGATAAATATGGCACTGCTGACATGTGGAGTCTTCACAGAATGCTACAAATGAACTTATTTACAAAGCAGGAGTAGTCACTGATGTAGGAAACAGACATGTTTACAAGGGGGAAGAGGGGTGAGGAGGGGTAGATAGGGTGATTGGGATTGACATAGACACACTGAGATACATCAGACAACTAGTAAGGACTGCTGTGTAGTGCAGGGGACTCTCCTCAGTACTCTGATGACCTGTATGGGAAAAGAATCTAAAAAAGAGTGGATATGCACGTATATATATATCACTGATTCACTGAGCTACACAGCAGGAACTAACACCACGTTGTAAATCAATTATACTCCAGTAAAAATACTTTTTAAAACTTTCCTTTGGTTGGGAAGTCCTTGAGGTGAAGAGGAAAACGTACTCTGTTTTTGAGCTGAGTTGTTTATCGTATAGTGAAAGTCGCTCAGTTGTGTCCGACTCTCTGCGACCCCGTGGACGATGTAGTCCGTGGAATTCTCCAGGCCAGAGTACTGGAGTGAGTAGTCAGGGGATCTTCCCAACCCAGGGATCAAGCCCGGGTCTCCCCCACATCGCAGGCAGATTCTTTACCAGCTGAGCCACAAGCGCGGCCCGAGAACACTGGCTTGGGGAGCCTGTCCCTTCTCCAGTGGATCTGTGCACCGGGGTTCTCCCGCACTGCAGGTGGGCTCTTTACCAGCTGAGCTTTCACCGAAGTCCAGTTTTTTATCATAGGCCTGTATTTTAAAAATACATTTTTACTGAGGCCCAATTTACGTATGGTAAAATTCACCCTTTGCTGAATATAGCTCTGTGAGCCCTGACACGTCACTGCCACCATCGGTGCAGACTACTTCCGTGACCCCTGGAGATTCCCTCAGGTCTCTTCCTAGGCAGTCCCTGCCCCACCTGCCTCTGGCAACTACTGACCTCTTTGCCGGCCCTCTAGTTTCTAGGCACTCTTTTGAAACCCATTTTACTTATAATCTCTTGCTACTGTTTTTGGCTCCAAATGCAAATCTGCCTGCTCCTTCCCAGCATGCCGTCCTCCCACAGGGTCAGATTCTGCCCTCTGTCGGTGAGACAGGGCGTGAGACCGGTGGACAGGAAAGAGGGCAGGAACCTGTGTCAGTGCTTGCCCTTCAGCTCCCTGCTTCGTGTTTGGAGAGTCTGTTTAGTTCTCCAGACAAGTTTCTGTGTTTTGGGGATGCTGAGGGTGTTAACACAGGTGGAGATGGGACTCAGGTGGTGCAGGGGGAAGAGTGTGCTTGACCCCAATACCTTGTCAATCAGTGGGAATTTTGCAGGTCCAGAAGGAGCCAATCTGTTCATCTACCACCTGCCCCAGGAGTTCGGAGACCAGGACCTGCTGCAGATGTTTATGCCCTTTGGGAATGTCGTGTCTGCCAAGGTTTTTATAGACAAGCAGACAAACCTGAGCAAGTGTTTCGGTATGCTGGTGTTTCTTCTGGTGTCGGGAGGGCTAAATGTTTTTACCAGTGAACCAGAAAGAGAAGGGCTGATAGCAGGAAGAGCTGAGCTTGACTTTGCTTAGCTTTAGTTTAACTTTGCTTTGAGTAGATTACATTACCTCATTTTGAGCCTCAGTTTTTTTTCATTTCTCTAGTGGGAATGGTGGTTTGAACCCACACTGTCGCTCCAGAGGTAAAAATAATGTATGGAAAATGGCTTGGCCAAAAAATACTTGAGGATACTGTGTAGATGTCAGCTGATACTGTTAGAAACCTGATTTGTTTCATGTGATGTAATTTCAAGAAGTCTTCTTCCTGCTGAGAAAAATTGAGATTTGAAACTCAGCTCATGTAAGGATCCTGTTGCATAAGGAGAACTGAGGCTGTCCTTGCCTCCTCACGCCCCTCACTCGGTTTCCGCTTGGACACACAGGTTTTGTAAGTTACGACAATCCTGTCTCGGCTCAAGCTGCCATCCAGTCCATGAACGGCTTTCAGATCGGCATGAAGCGGCTTAAAGTGCAGCTCAAACGTTCGAAGAATGACAGCAAGCCCTACTGAGCGTGCCCCCCTCTTGGGACTGGAGTGAGAGGGTCTTCTGGTAAGTGGGGGAGGAGCGCCCTTGGTGGTTCGAAGCCCTGAGGCTGCGCTGGCAGCCCTGGACCCTGACCCTGCCACTCCCGCAGCCACAGCGTGCCCTGAAGACTCGGCTGCTGCCTTCTGTGGGGATTGCGCTTCGTTCAGAGGACAAGTTTGTGCTTTGGTTTCCAGTGTTTTACTTTGGAGTTTAGGTGCCATATCCTGAGTTGTTTTTTTTTTTTTTTCCTTTATTTAAAAGTTTGCTGTGTTTGTAACCAGTGTGTGTTGAGAAGGACCAACATCAAACTGCCCTGGGGGAGGAGGGGAAATGGAGAAACATTAAAAAAGAGGATCAGAATTTGCCCCAAACTATCCCAAGAGAGAGGACGAAGTTAGACGGAAGTGGACCCCCAGAATCTTCCTGAGCACGAGAGTGGGTGACGTGAGAACTGATAACCAAGAGCTTTTGGGGGGCAGAGCAGGTGGGATTGGCTTTGGAGAGGGAGAGTGACTTGGAACCCGGCAGCCCTGGGAGCTGGAGGCTGAAACTCCTCTGTAGCCGCTTTCGGTGGAAAGTCTGCGTTCTTGCCAGCGATTATTTAGATTCTCATCTAGGATTTCTGCCCCTCTTTCCTAAGGAGGGGCTGACAAGTCTCTGGAAATAAAGCACCTATTAAATTAGCCTGACATGCAAAAAGCAGGAATTTGTCATCCGTTACCCAGCCAGCCAGTGCTGTTGGATTGGCCCTTCCTTCCTGGCTGGTGGCTCTTAGGAAGAAGAAGCCAGTCAGAGAGGTTGTGTTTCGTTTATTTCAACACCGGACCCTTAGACCATGGCCCATGTCTACCAGGTCCCTTTAAAGGTGGCCTCTCGGGAAGCCACTGTCAGGCTTCCTTTTTTGTAATTGACCACAGCAAGGAATGTCACTTCCACCCCAACCACCGTTTTCCCGTGAGGGTAGACCCAAGAAGGGCTTATGGTATCTGGCAGAAGGGAGCACCTCTCCTGAGCAGAGTAATCAAAAGCCGTCGAGTTGGGGGAAGAAGAGCCTGCTTCTCAGTGTACCTGAATCCTAGGGTCCCTTTGAGCTGGTGCTGCATTTCCTGGCGGCCAGCACTCAGTACTTAAAAGGATTAAGCAGTTTGTGTTTGCCTCCTTGGTTGAGACAGCCCGGGCGTGGCGTCTGAGTGGAGGCAGGCCCCTCTTCTAACCGCTCCAGCCCTGTGCTCTGCTCTTGGTGACAGAGGAGACGGCAGGACGTTTACAGCCTCCCTCCGTGTGGGTTTAGTGTTCATTTACCTCAGTATTACCGTGTTCATTTCTGTCCTCCTGCTCACAGTCAGCTCCCTGCTGCCTCCCACAGGCCTCACTCTTGCCTGTGACCCACACAGCCTCGGGGCTCTGCCTCTGCTCCAAGAAGCGCTGTTAGTGGGGAGGCCCGGGAAGGACCTGCTGTCGGGAATGTGTCCCTGGGCAGAAGTGGCCCTGTCAGGATATGACCCTTAGCCAAGGCCAGGGACCGAGTGCCTGGGGTCCTCAGCCTCGCAGACGTCAGCCCTGCCCCCTAGCGGCAGAGGCGCGATCGCAGGGGTTGGTTTGCTGTCGGTCAGACGGGAGCGCTCTCCTTGTCACGCTGTCCTCGGGCCTCAGACAGGCATTGACCGTCTTGCTGTTGTGCAGATAGTTGGTGGTGGTGGATTATCCCATTGAAGCTGGGACAGCTGTTCCCTTCTCATAGTGATAACTTGGGTCTGTTGTCCTCTAAGAAACATGAAACATACTTCTTAAGCTGAACCACGTAAACTTGAATTCCTCGCACTGGGAGAAATGTGTCCTGTGTTTCAAGGATAAAACTGTTCCAAAGGCTTCCAGGGTCATGATGGGATTTTTTAAATAAATGCAAAAAATAAAAATAAAAAAAAAGAAAACAAAAAAAGAAAAAAATGCTAGGTTGGGGAGGCGCCGTTCTGAATCCCAACCGGCTGGAACCAAGAATGTCGTTTCTATTTTTATAGAAGTTTTATACAGCTCCGGGGTGGAGAATATTTATTACCTAAATTATATCTCTGGAAAAGGCCAGGATTTTGTAGAATCCAGAATGTGATTGTTGTACACGCAGGGTGCTGTGTATGATTGAAACTACTGACTTTCTGTGGCCGTCTGCAGCCCAGCTAACCTGCCCGCGGGGGAGGAGTAAAGCTGTGAATTGGCGGAGGAGAGAGCTGTGCTCCCCAGGCTGCTGCCGGTGCTGTGACCGCTCGCCTTCTGTTCTGTCTTCCTCCTTGGCCCGCGTGGGGTTTTCCAAAGCCCGGAGCTCCACTCTGCGCCCACCTTTTCCCTTTCCCTCCCTCCTCCCCCATTTCACTGTTAATTGCATACCTGTTTGTCCTGGGCTCCAGGGACCCCTTCGCTGTTGGCATGAAAGTTAAAGGTGTAATCAGCCTGCCTCTGATACCAGACCCTGAGGTTTCTATACCTGATGTGGGTTCTTTCCAAAAGGGGTGTGCACCTCGGTGCAGCCGGGGAGCCCAGGCGCTTCTCCCCCGCGAATTCCCACAGCAGTGCTGCCCTCGAGCACAGTTCTCTCCCCAGGCCAAAGATGGTGGTGTGTAGAAGCTGCTCCCCCTACAAGTCTCACGGCGTCAAAGGGTTCAGCTCGGAGAGGGGGGACTCGCAGTCAAGTCTTAAGCAATCCTTTTCTGTTGTGTGGGGGTTTCACTTACATAAATGTGTTTTCTGCTGTAGTTTTGTTTCTTCCTTGGGTTTCATCATGAAATTGATTTGCCTTGAATGCAGCCAGACACTGTCTCCTGGGTCCCACAGGAGTGGCCAGGGCCCGCGTGGAAGCTAAGAGCTTGGATTTCCGGCAACAGAGGGCCATCCCCATGGGAAGGGGGAGAAATTCTGGCCCTCTCCCCCAAAGAATTCTACCCGCCCCAGCCGGCAGCTCCAGCTGCCTCCCTGAGTCTGGACCAGGAGTGGGACGGGAGGCTGAGGCTCTGCTCCGCCGGAGAGCTGCTTTTCGGATGTGTTTGGGCGCTTCTGGGGAAATCCAAGCCTTAGGTTCCCTCTGTCTCTGGCAGTTGGATGTTTTCCTGGTGTCCTCCATGTCCTTTTTGCCTTTCCCCTGTGTCCATTGTTAGCATGTGCGAAAGTCGCGTCATTGCCCAGCCCTCCCTGCCCGCCTCCGCATTTCAGGGCTGCACACAGTGAGTGTTCTGTTCTCTCTCTCTGTTTGGATGTATTGCTCTGTGTAACTCAGTGGGTCTCCCTCTTTCTGGTTTGTTTTTTTTTCTAGATTCCTGCCGTTTGTTCATCGTTGTGCCTAAAGCATGTCGATGTGGCGTCAAGTACATCGTCCAAATCCCTGTCTCTTCAGCTTCTCTGATGCTTGAACTCTCACCTTTGACCTTGTGTTGACCTTTGATGCTGATGTGTATTTTTATTATGTTTGTTTCTTTCTTTGTTTTTTCTTTTTTCTTTCCTTTTTTTTTTCTTTTGTGCTGCCAAATTGGTTTTGCTAGAACGACTGCTGAAGGGGAAATATTTAAACTTGCATTTGAATATAAAAAAATCTATTTTTCTAGAACTTCATAAGATAACCACTTGATTTTGTGATTCCAATCCTTTGTAATTGTCTTCAGAGCAGCCCTACTAGCACATACCGCGTGGTGTTTGTATTTCTGTGGACACACAGCCAGTCCGTTCCTAGGCTTCGTTTCTCTGTGTGCGTAGTTTTAAAGACAACTTTGGAGTAAACAATGAAATAAAAGATGTCGCTAAAACCTTTGAGGCTCCTGAGCACATTTTGCTGATATAGTTTGTAGGGCTTGAGGAGACCGCATGTGTTCCTATTTTTGTTTTTTCTGAGTTCTCAACTGCAGAAAACCCCTGAACCCTTTTTCCTTTTTGACCACCGGCTGCAGCTTGGGCCCCAGGCCAGCCCCCGCGCTCCTGGGGCTCTGCCCTGGAGCGGGAGGTCTGTGGGTCCCCCTGCCGCCAGCCCCGCTGTGCCCGCCCCCCACGCCTGTTCCTGCAGTCTCCACAGCAAAATGTGATACTTTGATTGTTTTTGTTTTTGTATTGTTTTTGTTTTGAATTTTTTCCTTTCCTACTGAGATTATGCCCAGAAAAAACAAGTTCTGCATGTTTCCTGCTGTTTCTTCACACCCTCGTATATATCACCTTCACCTCTCTGTTTTCTATAGTTTGTGCAAAAACTGACCGATTTAAAAGGGTTTCAAAGAAGCTGTTTTGAATTGTTGTGGGTTGATTTTTTTTTTCTTTCCAAGATTGTATTGTTTTATTTTGAAGTGGCAACTTTCTCCTCTATTGCCCTTAGAGCGTTTGCCTGTGCACTTAGACTGTCTCCTCACACGGCCTCCAGGCCTCGGGGGGCCTCCGGGGGCCGGCTGCTCTGCTCAGAGACGTGTGGGAAGGGGGTTCCAGAGAGGCGCAGGAGTGAGAGCGCACGCAGAGGGTGGCTGTGGGCAGGCAGGAGGCGGAGGGCGCTCCCAAGCACTCGGAGGAGGAGGGCATGCGTGCGCTCAGCGGCAGCGCTCCTGCCAGCGCTGCTGTGAGAAGCACAGCACTGCAGTCTTCACACTGTTTACAGCCCCGGGCCCCGGCCGCCCCACTCTGCTCTTCACTGGAGCTCTGCTCTTGCTTAGCTGGTGGGGTGGGGGTCAGGGCGGTTTTTTGTGTTTATTTTTTTAAATTGGGTGAAGAGCCAAATAGCTACTGTCCCCGGGTGCCAGGCAAGCCCCGGTCCTTGGTTCCCTGAGGGGAGCCTGCCCTCCTCTCTCGGGGCACCGTCCAGCCTCAGGGTCTGCAGGGACTTGAGTGAGAATGTGCATGGCGAAGGGCGAGGCCAGAGGAGACGTGAGGTCGCGGGGTGGGTCTGTGGAGGTCAGAGGTTGCAGGGGGCGGCAATCATCCACGCTGCAGGTGATGAGGAAGGGTCTCGGCAGGCTCTCTGCCCCGGGACCGGGCAGGCGGCCTAGTGTTAGCTTGGGGCCCCCCTTACCCGGAGGAGAGGAGGGCCAGGTGGAGGCCCAGGGGATGGTAGGCTGCTTAATTTCTTCAGAGGGGTGAGTGGATGGAAGGAGGCCAGGAACCCCAGCCTGAGCGAGACCGCCACGCACCCCACAGTCTGACTGCACAGAGCGGCCTCTGTGGGCGGAAGGCGCCGAGGCTCCCCTTCCTGTGTTCAGAACCCATGTTTGCCAATACATTTTGCTTTCAATTCCAAGAGGAGCTCTGGGAAAACCTGTGGATAAAACCAAATGCCAAACGTTGGACGTTGTTTCCTTTTCCTTTTCTCTCTCTGATTGTTTTAATTGTTCTGTGGTGGTTTTAATGGATTTGAGACCCTGGAGCGGCAGCTGCCTTTCTGATTTCCAGCTGCTTTTTGTGAATAATTTAAAAAGAAAAAAAAAAAAGAAACTTTACATTTTGGAGACAAACCTGTGTGAGTTTTTTATTGGTACAAACGTTGTATTTAACACTAGGGGTTTTGTACAGTTTTTTGCCTTTTCTACTAGAAAACAATGTAAAGTGATTTCACAATGTGAAGAGAAAAAATTGCCACTATGACCAAACGCACAGTCTGTTCTGCAGCAACAACGGGATTCAATCAACTCAAAGTCGTGACTCAGCCGTAGAAACGCTTTTTCTTTACCTTGTTTGAGCTTTTCCTTTCTTTCTGTTTTGATTTGCAAAAGAAAATGTCTTTTTTGTGTGAACTTGTGTTGTACTATGTAGAAAATTATGGATTTTACTTTAATGGTTTAAAAAAAAAAAAAAGGCAAGAAGAGCCCCTGTAGCTTTTCTGACCTGATCACAGAGTTTGTGTAGTGGATTAAAAAAGAAAAAAAAAAATTGTTACAAGTTTGGAGCAAGGGAGTATGTGTTTAACAGGAATCTCCTTCCTTTTTTGTGTGTTTTTCCTTCTGTCCCTACGGGGAACCTAAATCTGTTTTAATTGCACAGACACGCGGACAAAAAGTCATTTTGTATCTGCCAAGTGTGGTACCTTCTTTGTTTATTTGCTATTAAACTGTTTGAGAAGAACTGACGTTGTCTTCTGTGCTGTTGATTGTTGGGGCGGTGGCCTTTGGGCAGCGGGGTCAGCCTTCCTGAGGAAGGGGTGGGCACTCTAGTGTGGTTCCACTTTGATGTGCCCTTAGTATCTAGTGGGACCACCCCAGACTCCTGAAAGCACAGGATTTCTTCCAGAAAAGCGACTTCTGTATTGATCCTGCGTTCTTCTCAACGTACCCACTAGCAAGGAGGCACTGAGAACATTTTGGAGCAGCCTTCATTCCTGTGCTTCTTACATTGCCAGTCGTGGCCGCCACCCTGCAGGACTGGCCCAGACCTGTTGGGTGCAAGTCCCTTCCTTGGCTTCGGGGTTCCTGACCCCAGGGAGGCAGCCAGCGAGCCCTGAGGTGCCGTGCGTGGGGGCTTCCTCACTCCAGACCAAGGTGCATGGGCTCCTTTTCCCCTCTCTCTGACCTTAGGACAAGGTCACATTTCTAGGATTTCTTGGGTTCAGTACTCAGTAATTCTAGGTCACTTTCCGAGTGAGGCCAGTACCGAGGCTTCTCCCCACACCTCTAAACTGCGGATGCAGTCAGCCCCTGGGCCAGGAGCCTCAGGCCCTCTGGCTGAGGCATGAGCTGGTCTGCCCCTTGCTACCACTGTCAGCCTCACTCCTCTGGGAGGCTAGTCCTCGTGAAGCTGGCGCCTGTCTGGGAGCCCACAACCAGCTCTGGCCAGTAGGTGGGCCAAGCCTCAGCCTTCTCATCAGACTGGCTCTATGTGGGGTGAGTCTGGAGTAGCGTTTCCCAGAGTGGGTTTACTGGTTGCTAGCTCACGAGATGTTTATGCAGTAATTGTCCCAGCTAGTGTTCACTGACCACCATCTAGTGCTGCGGGGAACACCTAACACGCACTGAATGCTCTTGTCTTTATAACCCCTGGGAGGGACCTGCTGTTCCCATCCCCACTTAGCAGATGAGCACTGAGGTTAAAAGAAATTGGGTTGTGGACTTCTCTGGTGGTCCTCTGGTTAAGACTCCATTTTTGCACTGCAGGGGGCATGGGTTTGATCCTATGTGCCACATGGCATGGTCCCCAAAATAAATAAAAATAAAATTCTTCACTGAAGAAAAATAAATTGCATTGAGGGGGCGGGAGAAAGCGTTCATCTTGGCGCCCCCCCCCCCCAAAAAAAAAAGGTAACCAAAGTTACTGTGTTTTTTTTTTTTTAATGCAGTAGTTTATTTACAGACATCTAGTATGTTGAGATCACAAGTTTGATCCTTTTATCAAAGAGATTGCACCTCTTAGAACGCTCCCCTTAATATCTGTGTCCTGAATTCCCCACCCGGCCCCAGCCACACTGCACAGTTTTGGGGGTCTTACTTCCCCAACCAGAAATTGAACCCCAGGCCCTCGGCAGTGAAAGGGCAGAGTCCTAACCCCTGGACCACAGGGAATTCCCTCTTGGCTTATATTTTAGGTCGTGAGTGTCTTACTATAAAGGTGCAGCAAATCCAGATACAGGGTACAAAGTCTTCATAGCTAGTAGCTTCCCCTTGTTTTCCCCTGAAAGTGGGAAAATATTCCCACAGACCACAGAGGTTAGGAACCTCCAGACGCTCTGTTCCAACATAGTAGCGCTGTTGAATCTGCGAAAGTCTCAGAGACTGAAGGTGGACGTGATGGCAGCAGCACACCAAGACCTCCTTTCCCAACGACCTGTCTCCCCCGTGTCCAGAGTACTGCTGTATTTCATTGTCTTTTTGTCCTATGCACGTTTTAGAAATAGACCTGGGATCATACTAAAAAGGAGACCCCGAGTTGTCCCTGGGAAGGGGTGGGCACCGAAGAGTCAGACCAGGTCTGCCTGGCTTGCAGGCCATCACCCCTGAGGAGAAGGAACTCCGTAAAAGCACCCGAGTGCTTGACTTAACCTGTGCAGTCTCATCGCGTGTGATTGGCGTGCTGTCCTCGGCTCAAGGGGAGGGGCCCTACATCCCTCTGACTCCCTCAGTGGTGCATATCTCTCAGCTTTGGCCTCAGAGTGACTCTCGGTCACTCTAAGGGATTCACTAGTAACTCCTCAGAATTGTTGGCCAGCACGCCCCTACAAGGTGCCACTCCCTGTGAATACTGGGGTGCTTCCTAAACTTGGTCATTCCTACCATGCAGTTCTTTCTTTACATCAGTTCCGTTCAGTCACTCAGTCGTTTTCGACTCTGCAACCCCACCGACTGCAGCAGGCCAGACTTCCTGTCCATCACCAACTCCCAGGGTTTACCAAACCCATGTCCATTGAGTCGGCGATGCCATCCAACCGTCTCATCCTCTGTCGTCCCCTTCTCCTCCTGCCCCCAATCCCTCCCAGCATCAGGGTCTTTTCCAGTGAGTCAGCTCTTCGCATCAGGTGGCCAAAGTATTGGAGTTTCAGCTTTAACATCAGTCCTTCCAATGACTATTCGGGACTGATTTCCTTTAGGATGGACTGGTTGGATCTCCTTGCAGTCCAAGGGACTCTTCAGAGTCTTCTCCAACACTGCAGTTCAAAAGCATCAATTCTTTGGTGTGCAGCTTTCTTTATGGTCTAACTCTCACATCCATACGTGACTACTGGAAAAACCATAGCCTTGACTAGATGGGCCTTTGTTGGCAAAGTAATGTCTCTGCTTTTTAATATGCTGTCTAAGTTGATCATAACTTTTCTTCCAAGGAGCAAGCATATTTNTAAAGAATCCGCCTGCAGT